TATATGGACCGTTTATTTTGAAAATGGTGGTGTAAGTACATTTTCTGTTGTTTTGAGAAAATTAATGGTTCGCATATATTGGTTAATTTAAAAATATTCATTAATTATATCAAGTTTGACAATGTTTCTATTAATTATGTTTCTATACATTACTTTTAGGCTAATTTAATTAAAATAATGTATATTTACATTGTGTCTGCAAATGGACATACACTACTTTCAAAATGAGTCAATTGTCAAAATCGTTTAATTTCAATTTTGAAAAATCAAATATCACTTAAAATATATTCTCATATTAATTCAATTTTGTTTACAAATAATAACAGGGAATAAAATAGAAGTAGTATTTTTTATTTTGAATATTAATATAAAACAAAATAATAAAATTATGATGAAGCATTAACATTTGTGAAAAAATTAAATACTAACTAGTTATAAATAGAAAGTTTACACTAAATTAAATATAAATTACGTGATATCTCATTTTGTTTTTTTTATACAAAATGAACTTACACCACTTTAAAAATAAACGAATCATATTATGATTTAACGTAAAAATAACAAAAGATTAAGTAATATTTTATATAAAATAATAATAATAATAATAATAAATAAATAAAAAATATTGTGTATATAAATTCAAGATATAACGCTGATGAAAATGGGAACCATGCATCTTTCAAATTTGGTACAGCTGTTGGGAATGGTGGTGGTACAGGAATTGGTGGTAATGGAAATCGTGAAACAGCACCATATCCACCAGCAGGAAAACCTAAAAATGGAAAAGAATTAGAATATATACCACCAAATTCAGATAAAACCAATAACGTTGATAGAAAATATCTTCCACCACAATAATCAATGAATCAATCAATCATCATCGTATTATCCGCGTCCAATGGCATTTAACAGATTAAAAAAGATTATTAAAAATAATATTTTAAATATAATCTCGAGACAGAGATGATCGATTAAATGATTTGTTTTTTTTTGTATTAACGAAACGTTTATAAAAATCATAATCAAAATCCATTTAAACTGACGTTAATAGATGTTATTGATAATAATGATATAAAATATTATAAATTATTAAAAATATTTTTAAATTAACGACGAGTGACATTATCACGAATAAATGTACAAAGATTTTCTAATCCGTATATCATAAAATAAAATCACGCGATAAGAAGAATAAAAAGAAGAAGAAGAAGATGAAAAATAACAAATATATTTTTTTATAAATTTTCACATCGTCTTTTATTCATTTTCCTTGAAATTCTTATCGTCCTTTCTAAATTGTTCCTTTTTTTTTTTCATTTGAATTCTCATCATCTTATTTTAAGGAAGTGATCATTAGTTTATTGATAAATGTTTCTCAAGGTAGCTTATTCATATTCAAAAATTGAAAGTATTGAACTGATTTTAATTTTGTACCCCTAAACCACTTAATAAAAGAAATCGTAAAAAGTTTCACCCCCTTAGCATCGAATGCGTGTGATCATTATTATTTTTTTATGTATTTTTAATGTATTTTTAATATACTTTTAATGTATTTTATTTGTATTTTTTATTTGTATTTTATTTGTAAGTAAAACCCAGCTAAATACTGCTTACCCCATAAACATTATAATTGTAATTAATTTCTTTTAATTTTCTAATTAAAATCATATTTCATTTATTCCTTTCCTTGATTCCTATTATCCATTTAATTTAAAGAAACTAATCACATTATAATGTTTTTTTTTTAGTAAGTTTCATATATTTTACAGATACCACACGGAACACAATTAATAATGATTGTAATTTAAATGATTGAACTTAAACTGAGCATTGTATAGATTTATTATCAAGATGAATTTTTTAACAATATATATTTTTCATATTTAATAATTATTTATTACACATACACACACACACATATATATATATATATACATTTAAATTGATTATATTTATTTTAAAAAACATTTGTGTGTGTTATTTTTGTTTAAATAATTAAAACCATTCGATTTTAACTTTTAACGTAAAGATCCCAAATATATTTGTTATTATTTAACATGGGCCTTGCAATAGAACTAAATAATGATTTATTAATTTTAATTTTATTCGAGACTGATTTTAATTCAATATTAAATATATCCAAATATTCAAAATGTGGCATCAAATCCAAATTCAATTTAGATAATGATTTTATATTGATGCAACGACTCAACGACAAATGTACTAAATCTTGACAAATTATTAATTTCGAAAGTATATTTTCGGTAAGCGATGTATTATCGCTTAAATCTAATTCCACCATATTCGGGCAAGATAATATCAATTCTGATAGATCTGAAAAATATGTTTCTCGTGTGTTTATTAGTCATCATCAAAAAAAAAAAAAAAATCAACGTAAAGTTATGCCACTTTATGTTTTTTTTTTTATCCTATTACCGATAACAATCGATTTATTCGTATGAACTGTTTTAAATATGGTTCTGCTAGTATTATATTTAAAAAAAATATTAATGATAAAATAAAAGTGCACTTACTAACATCATTCATATTTTCTTTACATCCGGAAATATTTAAACGAGTTATAGTAGATGGAAGCATTTTACAAATAATATCAACTTGTTGTTTATTAAATGAACACCAACCTATATTAAGTTCGGTTAAACTAGAAAAATAAATTGTATAATATATATATTAGAATTTAATTTTTATTTATTTATATATGGATATTTTATCAGAAATAATTATTAAAATTATATTAAAAAAAAATATTAATGATAATTTACCTTCTAAGTTTAAGTATGAATAAAATACCTTTAAGATCTAATCCTTCGCACATACATAAATTTAATACCGATATATCAATACAATTACTTATTTCTTTACAACATGCCGTATCCAAAGTACAACTTTCCAATGATAATTTTTTCAAAAATTTACATTTAGATAATAATTGGGATAAATTATTAACAGATATCATTGCCATAGATAGATCTAAATATTTTATATTATACGTATAAATGTTATCGACATTATTATTATTATTTATTATTTCTTTAATCATTAATGGTTTGTAAATTTTTGCTTGTGAAAGTGTTAAAATTTGAACACCTTTAGATAATATTTTATGCAAACTGGTTTCGCATAAAGGCTTCCGAAATAAATTCAAATTATTCCATAAAATTTCATTGTATGTTAATTCGTGCCATTTTTTACATACCATCGTACATTGTACCTGAAATAATTTGGGTTTTTTTTTATATTTTATAAATAATACTTCTCTTCTCACAAACAAATTTGTCGCGACCACATTCGATAAGAATTATTTATTTATTTATTTTATTTATAAGACAATACTTTTTTTCAATTTATTCATTTACCAAATCTTTTATAGACAGGAATTGAAATATCATTAAAATTAATTCATTCTTTAATTTAGTATTAAAATAATCATCTCCCGCGCAAAATGATATTATTTTATTCCTATAATAAATTAAATTCTTACTATCACAGATATTACGATTTAAGTTTACTGTATTCTCATTAATATCACTTTTGTTATGATCTTTTTTCAAAAAATTCGATTCTTTCTGCGAAATATTTATTTTTTGTATAACATAATCATTACTAGACATCTTTTTTAAACAAATCTCGCAAATATTTCCAACTTCTTTTACAAATATTTGTTTTCTATTATTAATAACACAAAAAAATAGGTATTATATCATCGATTATAACAATTTATTTTACTCAAATAAATATTATTACACTTGTGTTAAATATACACGTTTTCAAGACGTTATATCTTATTCGGATTTCGATTTAAAACTAATACGAAATTCGGTTAATTCTAATTCCAATGTTATATAATAACCTTGTATATATATATAAGAATATAAGAAAAACAAATATTTACAATTAAACTTGAAGTCTAATTAAATCAATGAAAAGCATTATTGTACGCATAAACTAATCTCAAAAAAGACAGTATTTTATGAAGCATTTTTAAGAAATTTAAAAAGCCCATTTTATTCTTTTTAATTTTCATCTTTAAAACGAAATCTCGTTCATCAAAATCGATTAAGAATTATTCTTTATACGTTCAAGGAGACGTAATCAGTATTTTCGACCTTTTCATATCTTTCAAAAATAATTTCAAATAGAAAATAATTTGTCGAATTTATTTTTAACGATAAGAAAAAAGCAATATATTTGTAATTATCTAAGTCTTTTATTCTTTGACAATGCATACAATACAATAATTATTAGTTAAATACAATCACACTTGATGAACACGTGTATGCAGCATATATATATGTATACATACACATATGAGCATACAGTAAATTATTGATCGTTATTTACAATACAATATCCTCTAATATGTAAAATATTTAATCTACCTTTAGTAATACTACCAAAAATGCAAATTACCCTTTAAAAAGGGACATCAGTAAAAGAGATCTGAATTAAAGTTAAAATTAGTGAAATCAAATAGATCTTTGAGAAGATTATGTTAGTGATTATTACATTTTTTTTTTTTGTTCTTTTATTTTTACAATATGATCAGTCTCACAGCGAAAACTAGTATCATCATAGAAATGAAACATTCTATGCAATTATTTACTGCTACAATATACAGTACAAATAAGTATCACTATTTATTGATCTCAGTCTCTAACTCGAAGGCCCCAAATACTAGTTCTTCGAACACCAACTGTTGGTCTTGCAATAGCACTAAATCGATATTTATTAATTAAAGTATCTCCACAATTAGATTGTACGGACTTAGACATTTGATCTGACATTAAACCAAATATATTCAAAAATTTGAGGCATGGCATATAAGCTAATCTAACAAACGTTGACGGTGGTATACTATAGCAACGACTTAACGATAAGTGTTCTAGTAAAGAAAGATTTAAAATATATGGAGCTGAATTCATGGTAAGTAGTGTACAATCACTTAAGTCTAATTCTATCAGTTTTGGACAAGACTTGACCAAATCTTTGACATCTAAAAAATCAAATAATTAATCATTATATATAATTGCTATATATAAATAAGTTAAATATAATATTAATAAGTATAAAGAAGAAATGTAATTTTTAAAATCTTTCACTTACTATCATCCGTCATAGTTTTTCGGCACCCAGAAATATTCAAGCGATCAAGGATAGGCGGAAGTGATTTACACAATAGAGAGACAGATTCTGCGTCCAATGAACACCATGCCACATTGAGAGCAGTTAAGCTATGACAATTAAATGTAAATTTTTTCCGATAATTTACATCATGCATTATAGTACATGTCTAAAATAAACATAATTGTTGGCTACTTAAAGTCCTCAAAATAACACATTTCGCCAATGATAATGCTCACCTTTTAAGTTTAACTAAATGTGTAACACATTCTAGATCTAATCCTTCGCACATAGCTAAATTCAACACAGATAATTCTGTATTTAAGCTCATGGCATTACAACATGCATTATTCAAAATGCAACTTTCCAATGACAAGTTTTTTAAAAGTTTGCATTTAAATAGTAAAGTTGCTAAGCCATTCGCTGATATTACTGCCATTGAGAGATCCAGATATTGTAGTTTACATACATAATTACTACTTAAAACTTCAGAGTTTTCCATAAATATTGGGTCTGCGATCTCTGCTTGAGCAAGCCTTAAAATTTGAACACCACGTGGCAATATATGTTCCAATGTTCCTTCATTTAAAACTTTACTACTTAAATCAAGTCTACTCCATAATGCTTCGTCACGTGCTATTCGACACCATCTTTTACAAACTAACATGCAACGTACCTAAATTTTAACACAAATATTATAATAAAGCGTAACATTCTAACTTCTAATTTTAATTGATATGTGTCTGCAAAATATAAATATTCCTTACCAAACATTTTTTTGGTAACCATCTAAATATCATTAAAATCATTTCATCCGATAATTTGTTGAATTCGTCATTCCCCGTATAAGACAATTTTCTTTTTCTTCTACTTAAGTAAAAATGATCTAAACTATCCTTATCATTGGATGCATTTAATATTTCTTTATTGTATTCATCTTTCACACCTCCTAATGGCTCGTTCTCTAATTTCGAACTATAACCAGATTCATTTAGATGTTTATGTTTGCATAGATTATCTAATACGTACTGTTCCTGTTCTAATCTTTATAATAGAGAGAGAGAGAGAGAGAGAGAGAGAAATAAATATATAATTTAATGAATTATTTTTATATAGAATATGATACTACTATATTATAAAGATTTATATATATATAAAAAATAATAATTATTAATTATTACAAACCTTACAAGATTGTTGGAATGAAAATTAGAATCTATATACAAAGAATTTGGTTCCGATTCATAAGTCTCATTATCATTTAATGGTAACCGTTCATTACTTGCTGCATTATTTAAAGAAATAGTATAATCCAGAGATTGTACTTTGGTATCACAGTTGATTACATCGTCCTCTATGATGCTAACGCCCATCTCTTCTAATATTTCTGGTTCAGCAAAACTACTATCAGCAGTGTAAGACCACCTAGTATTAACCTTCGACGTACTATTAAATGTACTATTTAAATTATTACACTCATCCTCTGTGCGCATTCGTTTACTGCAAAATAATATTTATTATTACAATCAAATACTTATATGAACACGATAGAAGAAGAATTGGTGAAGAAGAAGAAATGATTTATAAGTTAAATTCAAACTAAATATAAGAAAAAATATAGAACAGAACCTGTTCCACCAAGGTGAACTGGATGATTGTCGACTCATCTTATACTTATTGATTTTCACTAGATAATAACAAATAAGCTGTTTGAAAAATCAAGCAGAACTAAAAACAAGACTTCAATACGTATGAGCAACAAATTTTAAGATTACACGCACTAAACCGTAACAAATTATTTTTTACACTTTAGATACATTTTATGTGACAAATAAATTAATTATATTTCAACGCAAGAAGTTAAAACAACAGCAAAAAAAAATAATAACATCAATACAAATTTAAACTAACTTACTAGAGACAAAAAAAAATCCCCGAAATATCACAGTATCGTTAAATGAAAATATCTAAGATATTTCGAAATCAAACAAATTTCGAATATCTTATCAAACGAATAAATAAGATAATTTAAAGCATGACTTCATAGAAAATATATTTTCCAAATAAGGTAACGCCACATCTAATCCTAAGAAAATAATTCAAGGATAACGATTAAACGTTTTCCAAATATTCGATACTCAATAATATTTTCTATAGAATTTCCTAGTTATTTGGGAAAATATACAAACTTGTAGGAAAGATTATTGACCTAACTTGATTCGCGTTAATACGGGTCGTACACTTGTTCCCGTCCTCCCCCTGCCTCTTCACCCCTCTCTCCCTTAAAAGCAACAGGTAAGAAAATAGGGATACGTTGCAAAGATCTTACGATTTTACAAATTTCATCGATATTCTAGTATTAATTCAATAGTATTTATTTAAAGAAAGTGATCAAAATAAACGGAAGAAAAGTATTAAATATATTAACTAACCTCTGAGGAGAAGGATATCCTTCAGAATTCGCAATATCCTCTTGACCAAGTCTCATTCTTTCCACCATGCCGGAATTCATTTTTGGCGGAATATTCTTGCTACATGTTATTTTTAATCTACGAGAACTAGTCTGATATTAGAAGAGGAAATCGCGTATGCCGATTGGTCGAAATCTTTCGAGCTATTTCGATAGTTAAACTTGAGCTCGACACTGATTGGTTGATAGATGAATAAATCGAATTAATCTTTCGATACGATTAGTTGTTACTTTCGATTAATGCAATTTCGATATAGTTTCGAGAAAATAATTTTGGCGGCTAAAGTACGCGGCAGCAAGTGCATTGCACTCTCAATCGTGTGAAGAAAATAATATCCCAGTGCAAAAATTATCAATGATTATGTAGAAATGTTTGTGTCCTATTTTTAATGATTTGTCACGATTGTGATAATGAAATGTATTTATATAAGATAGATTATATAACGATAAATTCGACGAGAATAGAAATTGTATTAGTATTGTTGCGCGGTAGAAATTATTTCGTTCGTTTGTTCGTTCGTTCGTATTCCTTTGTTAAAATATAGGTTAGAAATAGCGCGCATGCGCGTAAAATCCTTGCAAGAATGTAATATGACACTTCTAACGTAGAAACCAATTAAACGACCTTTTTTTTCATTAAATAACGAATATATATTTACTCTTCGTTAAATATTAATTAATATATTTTTTATACGTATTTAAGATATATCTTTGCACGTATAACACGTATAGTTATTTTATTATTATTTTTTGTTTAGTTTATCTTAAAATGCATGTGAACAAAATATTACTTTTATGTTAGGTAGGTTAGAATTCATTCACCGTTAAGTCTGTCCTTGGATAAACGATTTCTTTTGTCGTAAAAATTATCCTTTGAATATCCGTCCCGAAAAATGGCTGTACGAGAACTTAAATTAGAATTAGGGATCTTCATTTTTTTATCTTCCGCATATATCTTCATTTGGAAGCTTACTAAATCCGAAGTTTTCTTGTGAAATTGAAATCTTTGATCCTTCGGTTCTATTCCTTTTTCGTGCCACCAACCGTAACTATAAAAATTTAATTAAACAATGTAATATCGTTTTTTTATTCTAATTAATAATAAAAAATATTTTTCTTTTCTTATAATAATAATAATTATTATTATATTATTATAATTATATAATAATTTAATATTTTATAATATTATTATAATATTTTTAATATTTTATAATTTTATTATATTATATAATAATTTTAATAATTATTATTATTATATTATCATTATTATTATTACGTATGACTGGTCAACAATGGCCACCGATAAATTCCCTTAGGAATTTTTTCATCCTCTTTTGTTATACGCTTAATTGTTTCCTCCAAATCGAGATTTTGCAAATTCTCGTGTTCTCTTGAATAAAATTTGGGTGTTACAAAGTTAGCTAGAAAATTTACAAATCTCAATATTAAAACGAAAGTATTCTTTTTTTTTCTTTTTTTTTAACTTTAATTTGATTAAAATAGCGAAATAAATATTAGAATTACGTAATATATGTTTCAAAGATTATAAATAATTAACGGCTATAATATTAAACGTAATTATTTTTTTTATTTGTATTTTATCCTATTTTTCTTTTTCTTGTTTTATAAAATAAAATACTATCCTTGTTAAATAAATTTAATTACATTCGTGTATTTAATTGATATTTTCGATTTTTACGAATACTTAATTTGATAATAACATTTCTCAAAGAATAATTTCAATTATATTCAACTTTGTTAAAGTTCGCGAATAAAAATGATTTATGAAAAAGAAAGATTGACGATTAAAGTTAAAAATCGAAATAAAAATGGATAGATAATGACAGGATACCATTGATCTTAGAAATGTAAGCATCCGATTGTCCAATTGGTCGTTGTTTAGAGAAACAAAGTTTGAAGGGTGGCTTGTCCGTTGTATTTTTCAAAATTCTTTTCAAATCCGTTTGTGAACTCACCGACATATTCTTCCCACTATACGTTTCAAATTAAATCAAAATTATTTCCTTTTTTTATTATTATTATTATTTCTGCTTTGAGTTTCAAAGTATTACTTTTATTTCCTGCGTACCGTTTGTTCAAAGAAAATAACAGACGATGTCAACGACACCAAGAGGACTCTCTCCTTTATTTGATCGATATTTCGTAAGATTGTTAGAAACGTTTTAAGAAACTGATTTAACTTATCCTATCTAAATTATCATCAAGATTTTTCTATTTCTTAAAATAATAAATGCAAAATCGATAACAATAAAATAGAACAATGAATCCAACGATTGAATTTTCACTTTACTCATTTTATTTTCAATTATTCCTATTATTAATGCGTATAAAAGTATACGATTAATAATAATTATTAATCTTAATGTTTTAATAATGTGATTTTGCATTTGTAAATTTTCCAAAATTTCAAACATGGAAAAGTAAAGAATCGATTAGATTCATTAACTATCTAACCAGTTTTCCATATACATTTTTTCTATATACATTTTGTTAATATATGTATACGTACTGGATTCCAGTAATTGGCTGCCAAGTCTAATAATTATTGCATAATTGACTGATTGTCAGTTCATTCTGGCGACGCCATTTTAAAATGGTGTCGGAACGCCATTGATACGCTAGTGAAGCGCCAATGATTTGCTAATAAACCGCCATTGATACGCTAGTGAAACGCCATTGATACGCTATTAGAATTCATTAAAACTTATTGTAATATCCCGTAACAAAAAAAAAAGAAAACAAAACCGTAATACTGTAAGCGTAATTGCAGTGTCTTAATATGTACTATATAAAGAAATATTATGAAAAAAAAAAAAATATGGCGATGAGAGTAAATGATCAAAGTCAAAACCTTTTAAAAAATTAAGATAACAATCTTGTATAAGTAGGAAACAAATATTATATTATTTTAAAGATATATTTATTCATAGTATTGATAAATTAATGCTTTTATCGTAGGTGTTAAATTATTACGCTGAAAAAATGAATAAACAATCGTATTCAACTGGAAATCAAAGTATATTACACACATGTTTTTTATGATTTAATTTTACTTCTATCATCGCGTTTTTAATAAAGAACATTCACTATATTGTGAAGGTACGTTGATAGTAAAGAAATATTTAAAACATAAATTATCTTTCTGAAAATACACTGTAGGTTTTTAAACTTTGCATAATTCTTGTTTTTTTTTTTATTAGCCTATTGTGCAATTTGAAAGAGAACAGAGATAAAAAAAATGAATATTCTAATTGCAAAAGATCAGRGAAGAAACTACTGTTTTATAACCGACTGTTACAGATYCGATGGTAACTTATCCAAAGAATTAATAATATAATTAAATAATTAATTAACAAACTGAGCAATAATGGATTATGATTGAGCAGCTAAGAGCACTTATTCATTTTTTTCTGCTGTTGCGATTCTATGCCAACTTTTTTGTGATGCATCAATGCTATAATCTAGTTCAGATTAAACGTCGATAAAATAGAAAATTATAATAATATGGTAAAAGAACTTTAAAGATTTAAAGAATTATTGTTAAAAGAACTTTTTATTCGTTATTATTTTGATCTGACTGATTAATTAATAAAATTCATAATATTAATGTTCTTTATATRATAGGATTGATAGAAAAAAAAAATATAATTTTTAAATAATTGAGAAATTATCATTGCATTGACAAAAAGAAAAAATAAACATCGACGTTTCGTGAAAAGAGAGTCACGTTTATGTAGATCCTGTAGTAAAGAAAATATTGATCATAAAAGTTAACTACTTGCTTGAGTAATATATTCAGTCTTTGTACGTACTTATGATTGTGTACATTCATTTGCAACCCTTTTAATATATAGATTTAATTATGTCAAGTAAATTTTTAATATTTTGCATTACATTTTTAACACTGTTGCATAATATGCATAGTAAAATACTTCGTGGGACTCTCGTAACGCGTGAWGTATTAAAAAGAAATAATTTATAATATTTAAGAGGCTTTTTTTTTTATTGTTTTTGTTTTTTAAACAGAAGCGTCGCTACATATTAAACAGAATGTATTTCATATAACATTGTATACATCTTTCGTGAAATTTCAATCGAAATGTACTAAATTGTAATTGTAACAAAAATAAGTTCGTTTATAAAAAAAAAAAACGTAATGCATTTGTAAATTAATTATTCGATTGTCAATTAATTGCAAAGTAATACGTAATTGTATAAGACGCGTGTAGTATTAATAAAATTAAAAAAAAAAAGAAAATATTATCTAAACTGTAATATTATTTTAGAAAATATTTTTAAACGATCAATTTTGTTGATAAACAAATAACACATATATATATATACATATTTGTTCRCAGAATTGGGCCTTTCTCGCGAGATTTTGTTTTCTCACAGAACAAGGCACTTTTCGGTACGATTTAGAAATAAGGGGTAAAGATGCATCGGTAAATCTTTTGTTGTATTACGACGCACCTCATCAATGGCCTACTGTCTATCCTTCTAACAAAACGTGCGAAGAAAAAGAATCTATTTTAAGTACTGCCAATGGTCAGATAGTACGACTTTCCGAAATATCGTCGGCCAGTTCTGGATGCGTTTTAAAAAATGATTCGTCTTTRCATTGCAATAGCTACAGAAGATTTCAATCGTCTAGGCCAATGTGGTGGTTTATTGTATTATCAGATTGTTATACCAAAACAGGTTTAAATGTTACGTATTGGATTTCGTTRACAAATGCATCGCCGGGTAATATATGGAAAGAACATCTTTCTGCGGATGAATTTTGCAAGTATTTCTTTTTAAGAAAGAAAAAAAATCTTTCCTAATTTAATACAGTATTATTATTACATTTTTGTAAAGGATGTTCTTGTTAATTACAGACATACTACCAGAATTACTAATAGCAGCTTGTATCTATATAGTACTCGTCATATTAAGCTTTTACGTGGCTGTACAATTACGCTCGAGAAGACTCTTACACGTTTCGTATAAACTGTTTATGGGTTCTCTTCTTTGTCAATTAATAGGCATTTTATTAGAAATTTACAGTTATCTTAATCTTGCATTGAGAGGAGTTCCTATAACCGGTGCTTCTTTAGTGGGTCATCTTTTAGAAGCATGTTCGGAAACTTTGTATACAGTGCTTATGTTATTGTTAGCATTCGGTTATACTATCACCAAAAGTACATTGACACCTAAACAAATTCGATGGCTTACTTATTTCATTTGTCTTAGCGCAGCTTGTCAGCTGGCATTGTATGTTTATCAATTTGAAATATTTGATCCTGGTTTAATCCTGTATATCTACGAATCACCACCAGGTTATGGGCTAGTAGCATTGAAATTGATTGCATGGATTATATTTGTTCTTCGTTGTTTTAAGACAACTAAGAAGATGACAAAGAAGGTCCATTTTTATGCCTCTCTACTTTCTTTAGGGTCAGCATGGTTCCTGTGTCATCCATTGACGGTACTTGATTAAACTTATCCAAACATATAAAGAATAATTTATAAATAAATATATAAATATATATTTATGTATATATATATATATATTAAGTATTAAATAATTACATGCTTAAAAATATCATAGACATGCTTTGCTGTACGCATAGATAAAAATAYAAAGATGCTTTGTTGATTTCACAGGTACTATGTATCACTGTGCTTGTAGACAAATGGATAAGGGAAAGCGTTGTAAGAGGATGCTTTCTTTGGATCGTCCTTGTTGGACATGCAACATTCCTTTATGTTACACGACCTACTATTGCAAATTCGCGTTTTCCGTTTCACATTAGAACATGCCAAGTAGTTCCGGTTGATGGTAATGGACAAAATCATAGTTACGAGCCTCGATTCCGAAAAGTAGTTTCAGCGTTCACAATCTCATGATTGTTATTACCTCTTCCTCTAACTTTTAGAAATGATATGTAAAAAATGAATATATGACAGATATCAATTTTTATTAGGTGTAAATATATATACGTTATTATTATGCTTTTAGAAAGTTTTCTATCTTAGATTTTTATCCAGCATGCATAAGTTCTTAAAATATAATCATTTACCTAAATGCTGCTTTCATTAAATGGTACATCATACTTAAATCCATATAAACAAACATTTGTTATAACCATGCGTAACCATGAAAATATCTTAGATGTTTCTGTATCGCCTACTAATTATCTTAGTAGATATATGTTTGTATATTTATAACTTGAAGATAAAACTATTATTCATTTCAACATAGAGAAAACGCTCTTGATGCTTCTCAATCCCATGTTTTAATTAATTCAATCGCATGAACCGTCCAGCCACCCGTCTCTCCATCTTTGGTTGACTAACTTGCAATCAAATTCCGGTTTACCTAACTTTTTGTTTACCTCATTATGAACAACGCATAGCCATTGACTGAAGACTTTTTGTGAGTCAGTTTGCGGCGGCAGACTTTTCAATTGTTCTTGAAAATCTTCCGCACAGATGTGGCAAGGATAAAACTTTGAAAATATATACATGAATCTTTTCATATCACTTTTTTGTTCATCACTAGGGTGATCAGGATAACGAGCTGCCATCGTGTGTAAAAATGCCCATGTTTTTGAACCTAAATCGTCTCTGGTTAACGGACAGTCATTGCGTTGAGAGGTAGCAACATTTGTAYTAGGATTAGTTGCTTCCTGCTTTTGAGTATCACCCTAAAGCAAAAGAAAAAGAAGAAAATTTAAATAAAAATATACAAAAGTATATTACCATCTTGRAAAAACATTTATATAAATATACCTTTCCCGAATCAAAAGTTTCCTGTTGTAATTTCACCCACGTTTTAAAATCGGTGCACGTTCGACAGGGCTTCTCCATTTTAACATATTTATTATAACAATGCTCTTAACGTGTTACAATAATTTATAGGAACGTGTGTTCATAACGATATTCAACATAACCTTTCATTACCCCGATATAATCACAGAAATAATTATTTCGACGAACACAATATTAATCCTTCGATAAATCGTTTCCAATTAATGTTAACACCGATTGGATTATCTTTTATTTTATTTCAAATATTATTTTACAAATAACATAGAACATATCTTTAATTATTCGCGTTGTTCACTCGCAATCAGTTAGTTTCTTACGCAATAGTAATATAAGATAAAGTAATAAGCATTCAATTTTTCCCGCTAAAATATAAATCGAAGACCACTCTGATTGGTTGTTATTTGTCCACTTGGAAGAATTCATTGTGAAAACAATAATTGAGTGAAATGTAAAAGTGAAATTATGTACGTATTAAATAACATCCCTTTGACGAATAATTTCTATTTCTTGTATATATTAACCAAAAATTTGATTACATTTCGAAAACGTGAAAATAAATTATAATGCGCGTGCGTTGCGGCGAATTGTAAAATATTAAGAACCCAACCTTATCTGATAATCGTGACAAACGTCAAGTGCGATTCTGTTTCGTACTGATCAGTTAAAACTCGAATGATTCGTTTGTTTGGAAAAGGAAATTCAAAAGAGACAATGGCTAGTCGTAAAAAAGTTGATAAGTCATCTCGATCGGTATCCAAAAATACAAGACAGCTTAATTCAGATACAACGTTTCCATTCTCATCGTCATCCGACGAAGACGATCAGCTGTCCGTAAGACGCGACAAAACCATAACTCAGGATCAACCAAGTAGAAATCGTAGTGTTGAAAATGATCAACAGACAGGTTAGATTTATATTCATTTAAATGAAGAAGATAATGTATATAAATCAATCTTATCGATTAATTTTAATTTTTAATTTTCTTTTTTTTTTTTTATTTATCATAGGTCAAGATATTTCACGTCGTGAAGAAAATCCATTTAGCTTTAAGCACTTTTTAAAAGGCGAATGTCAAACTAATTATTACAAAACCGGTGCAAGGCCAAAGATTTATTCATCATCTACGACGAGTCCAAACAATGTTGAAAAAGATACCGGTGTATTTTCTAGAAATCCAACCGAATTACCAGATTTCGTACAAGATCATTTAGTCATAGAACAATGCTACTTAAATCATGTATTCCCTCCACAAGGTGTACCTGATGTCGATAATCTTCCTGATTTTGCATTGAACAGCGTAGAGCAAAGGCAATTACGGTATAGAAATGATCCGAAAAAGTTGCTGCCCCAACTATTGCCCGATATTCCTTTCGATCTTACTGGTTCGAAAGCTATATCTCAAAATGATTATTTTCTTTCTAATGCTACATGTTCGAATAGCATTAATATACCTGTATTTAACGCGGTCGATAATATTATTGAGAATTCTGAGTCAGCTTCAGATTCGGGAGGTAAGATTTATGATATTTTTTTCTTTTTTCAACAAAGAAAATTGATATACTATTCGTTTGTTGTATCACAAATTATTTTTATCGTTAACAGAACCAGAAGTTAGTAATAATGTCGTTACGAGAGATTGCACGCCGACAACTGATTCAAACGTACCAAAATTATTACCAGATTTTTTAAATGACGGCCCAATTCATAGTAGAACGAATCTTTCCAATGATATTGGATCTAACTCGCAACCTAATATGGTAGAATCAACAGACCGAAGGGTATATATATATATTATCAACTAAAAATTGTTAAAACTTAATAAATACATGTAATTAATACAAAGTATTTGTCAGCTTTTATTAGAAAATGATAGGCTGAGGCAAGAGTTGGACGTGGCTTATAGAAAAATTAATGAAAAATCAATTAGGCAAGTTGTTGTTTTTTTTTTTATTCTCATCTTATATCTTGAAAATCATTTACGTTTATTGACATCAAAGTGTGTCTTATTACAGAATTCAAATGTTAGAAGCAGAATTGACTTTTAGGAAAGAAGTAGACTTCGAAGATATGGCACAACTTGAAAAAGCAGTGGAACAAGTTGAAAATGATTTAAAACGTAGTACGGTAAATATTTTAATTTAAATGATACCCCTGATTGTGTGAGATTGTATTAAATTATTTTAGAAAATAAAATAAAATGTTATCATCTATTTTGTTTTGATTTACAGAGAAGAGCGCTCAGTGCAGAAAAGACAGTAACATCGTTAAAAAAAGAAATTAAGACATTAACGGTTAGTATATAAATTTAGAATGCATTCATTAATTAAGAATTTTATTGATCAAATTGTAATTCTAATTTAGTCAGAGCTATCGCAGCTACAATTGGAAAATAAGAATCTTAAGTCTGCCATTACTGTTAACAAAAAGAATGAATGCGATGAATCTTCAAATAACATAGATAGAACTGTGCGAAGACTCGCCGGTGAATTAAGAACTGCTGCTTCAACGGCTGAAATCTCATTGAGGTAATAATTTGTTTTAATTCTGAATAAAACAAAAAAAGAAAAAGAAAGGTAAAATTTGTATGTTAAAAGGTATACACTCATACAGCATGTAATTTTTTTTGTTCTTTTTTGTTTGTTTTTTGTTATTCTAAACGTATGTGTTTTAATACAGACAATTGATGTCTGGAGTGGAGAATCTAAGGGTACTTGCTTCTATCCTTGAAAATGTGGACAGAATAGAAGATACGACCAAAGATTTCGTAGCCGATTCGGATGAAAATAATGCTGCTGGTCCTGCGATCTGAAAGATCCTATCTAAATCGCATTAACGTTTCCATAATACAAATCTATCATACCTCTCTTTTATATTCACCTCAACCAACGCTAAGTTCCTCATGCTCTCTCGCAATAGTGCAGGGCATATTTGCGTCGATTGATAATTTAGACTCAATTGTGTAATATGTTATTTATGACGTGTTTGTTGTACTTTTATATTAGTTAAGAATAGATTCTAAAATGCATCTAACTTCGACACATAAACAAACAAACAAAAAAACGTACAGAGGTACAAGGGCGTACGAGACGAGTAACGTTCTGTTTATAATATTTCTCTTTGAAGGATCTTTAAATCGGATAATTGAAACAACTGTTGAATATTAACTAAAGTTAAGTAATCGCCATTAGGCGTTAATTAAGGGATAAGCAAACAAGTGTTATATTTTTCATATACATATTTTTGAGTACGACCAAAATGACAGTGTAACCGTAAGTACGTACCTCATATTCATACAGAATAATACGTTGATTCGTGCAACGCAATTTTAATGAATATCGTTTTAATAAATACACGCCGATCCAAGAGGATTTCAGTAACTATTATTATGTGTGTGATCGCGCTATTAGCAAATTACAGCATCATATCATTCTGTGCAATTGCTTTGAATTTAAGTTTCAAGAAAATCTAGTTCTAAACTACTGGAATTCTAAAAGTGATGCGTGTGTATTGCACCCCTCTGCAGCCTTGTAACAATTTCGCAAGATCATTTTTTTACACTAAAGGCAGATAATTTTATTTTGACAATAAAAAATATATGAAAAAAAAAAAAAAAAAAAAAAAAAAAAAAAAAAAAA